TTTTGTATTTTAGTAAAAATAAAAAATAAAAAAGATAATAAATAATGTTTAATATTTTAAAATAAGATAAAATCTTAAATAAAATATATTGATTTCATAACAATCTTGTGTTATATTTTTAACGATATACCAAAATATTTATATTTTTCAATATATAAATTAGTTTAATTTAAATATTAAAAATTTAATTATAAAAATTGTTCTATAACCGATTTATCTTCCATTACCAAATTACTTCTAATTGACTTCAAAATTAAAGGGAACAACAGATCAAAACCGGTGTCTGTGGCCGGGTCTTGGTATCTCCCTTCCTTCGTTTTGCTTCAGTCTAGAGCTACAAACGGAGAGAGATTGTGTTAGGGTTTATAAGGTAAGGTCTGAATTCCGTCCTTTCGAGTTCTGCTGTCTTTATTCTGATTGATCCATTAGGCTTCGTGCAGAAATTTTCCGTTTGATTCGCGAGAACATGTATATGTTGAGGTGGAAACTGTTCCTTTCAGTTTCCATTCAATCTCATGATTACATCTATTCAATTGTTAAGCTTATCGCTTTAGTTATGCCTAGATCTCAAATGATTTGTTCTTGGCAAGAACTTGATGCAAATTATCGTGTTTAAAATTTCGCTTTCACTGTCTTGATATATTTTTTGCCATTCGGAAGTAGGTTTCACTGTTAGTCAATGCGATTCTCTGTAAACAGGTTCATTGTATAGCATTATGAATGTAGTTCAATTCAAACACGTTTTGGTGGGATCAAGCCTGTATAGCATTATGAATGTATGCCTAATACTTTTTTTTTTTCTTTTCATTTGGTTTGTGCAAAAATCAAGGCAATGGCAAGTTCTGGGAGTTCCATGCTTTACTCCTTTCTCATGTTCACGGTCATTCTGTCTCTTCAAGAAATGTATAGAGGGAAGTTAGCATCCTCGGAATTATTTACCATCCTTGGAGGGTTCATTAGCTCTCTCCTTTTTCTTGTGTCGCTGACAGTGAGTTTTCTGATCGATTATCTAATTATTCCTTTCATTCTTATATCCAAACAAATTTGGTAATTTATTACTTCACACGGTATAATTATTTTTTTTGTGCTTTAAATCTATACAATAAAATACGTAACATAAATGGGAAAATATCAAGTAAGAATACCAAATCAGTAGTAGCTTAAAGACCCTGAATTATCCTGATTATTATTACGTAACTGGTTGGTCTCGATTTAGTGATATCAGTCCTCTTGGTTTTTGTTTGTGCAGTTTATTGGAAATTTCCAGGAAACCTGTGGCATGAGGACTGGCTGGGGAGCTGGTGAGTTAATTTAGAATAGATGTTTTATTTTCCTGCTTCTTCCTTTTATATGATTGAAGTACCGATAGTGGTTAAGATGAATAGAAGTGAGTATTTTAGTTCTATCAATCTTTTATGAAATGGAAAATTTGTCAGAAATGGAATAAAAAAAACATTTGCCTGTATGTGATATGCACTGGTGTGTTTGCATCTTTATTTTGTGTATAAGCTAATCTACACTTGAGTGAGCACCATCCATCTAGGCTGCTTGATAATGTAATATGTCTGCATGTCTACTTAGGTCAATTGATTCAAGTTTTTATTAGAACTCCATGAATGAAACGGGCTTGCTTTTTTTATCACATGGAACCGATTCCTATGACTTTTATCATTCACCAACAGGACATAAATTCAAGATTTCTGTTCAAGTATATGAAATTTTACGTGCTTGACTTATACGTTGGAGGTTGATATGATGGATTTTGATATGAATTTGGAAATAACTGCTGGCAGTTATAACTTTGGTTACATTTTACTTAGAGCTGTATCATTTTATTAATAGTTCAACACATTCTCTTAGGTTGAGGCTATTGATTTTTTATTAGTTACGTAAAAATCGTAGCAGAACAAGTGAATATTTTTGGTGTCATTCTACTTGGTGCAGTTTTATTCTAACACATTGTACACATGCTTCTGACTTTTTTTTTTCTATGGCAGTTATATTAGCGGAAGCTGTTGCACTTATTGCTGCAAGCACTGTCCATCGAGTTTGTATAACAACATGGTAATGTTATGGATATGATTTTCCTTTGTCTTCTTGTGGACTAGCTGCATAAGTTTTTAGTTTAGATATTTTATTTGCCTTTTGCAAAAATGTTTATACAAGGAAAAAAGAAAGAGCCATTTTGGATAGGCAGGAAAACTAATATTAGAAATTAGTTATCATGTTGAATTTTTCTCATGTAGACTTGATATATAGTCTTTTACAATGAATTGAGTCAATGAGCTCTGTTCTTTTCATTGAAGAAAAAGTGGCTAAAATAGATGTGCTGTTCTTCAACAGTGAAAATAAGGTCAGTCTCTATTCAACTTGGGTTAATCATTGGATCTCTTACCCGGTGTCACTTAAATGAATAAATATTAGTGTGAAACTGTTGAAGGTGTTGATGATTTTTACTCCATTAATGCTTGGACTCCAAGCATATTTGTACTCTAAAATGTGGACATTTTGTGGAAGTGGTTGCGTAAAAAGTGGATTATAAATGAATTGTTGATTGAACAAAGAACGTTGATCTGATGTATTTATTTATAAATCATAAACTTTAAAGTACCTCTAGAAAAGCTCTAAACTAATTATCAGTGGTTTAACTGTGGAAAAAATTTGGTTTAGAATCTTCTTAACATAGTAGTAGATATCTAGATTGTGGGTGGTAGGACTTTGGTTCATGTGGCATAATACAGCCATACACGTGAACCTTGTCAGATTACCAATAATATTTAAATGTTTTAATCAATTTCCAATAAACTTAACCATCGGTGCCACACTTCTGAATTTGTACTGATTACCTCATTCTTGAGGCAACCTGGATAGTGGTTTGCGAGTTGCTTAATGCAAGTCCGTCATATTAATAGCATTTGTTCTGAACAAAAATGAATCGATATATATTTTTGAACAGAGAGAGATGTTTTCATTATTTTTCGTTGTTATCTGGATGCAGTTTCTTGTTCTCTGCTGCGCTGCTGTATGAGATCAACAAGGTTTCAGACTACATGGTTTCAAAAAGCGAATCCAAAGCTAAGAGACACTGAGGCAGATGTCATTACATGCTTAGATGAAACTTCAATTCTTCATTATCTGATATAAGAATATTTTCAATAATGCAGACTTTAGAAGCTTATTGCATACCTCCAGCTTTTTTTTTTTGGCCTTAGTATCTACAGGATCTTGATGCAGAGTCTTACTCCCTCGTTTGAGAGAGATCAAGTTTTTTAACATATTATATTTCATGTCTAAAATTTTGGAATCTCTTCTATATAATTTTCTTATTTTGGGATATCTGTTTGATTAGTGATATATATCTACAATGGTATACTTTGCTTGTGGTACTTATATTTTTGCTTCGGGAAAATTCAAAAGTGATCTGGTGAACAATTAAGTTATGAAGAAGAGTTTTCTTTAGGGTAACTTCGATTATATTTAAAATAATCCAAGAGTTTTTGTAACTGAAAACTTTGAAGTGCATTATTTCACAATTACATGCGTAAGTTTATTGTCCTTAAGCTATAAATTATAAGTAACTTTCATAAAAATTCTGAATTTGTTATAAACATAATCTTTCTTTCAGTTTGCTCTGGTAGCCTGAGTGTTCAGTCCTCTTCTCCAGTTATTGGACTGCATGATGCTGCTCGGAAAATCAGAGTAAAGTTTCTAGGGTCTTTTCCCCAACGTTAAACTCAATTTGCCTGGAAACATAAGAAAATGGTCAGTATCTAAATATGCACATGCATTGCTGACTCCCCATCATATATTTGGTCTATTTAGAAACTCAAATATATTACAGACATCAAGTACTTTCTATGGCCCTAGTCGACTAAAACAATTTGCAACAAAAGCAACCACTGCCCATAAACACAACACGATATTATTGCTCAAAACTCAAAAGGAAAATGCAAGTATCCCATCCACAATGCAAAGAATAAATAATGATTAACTCTTGGCAGTGAAGGAAAATTTACAAGCAAAAACAATGAAAATTTTTATTTTAAGAACATTTACCTTGAGAATAACAGTTAATCTGTTGATAAAATATGTCAAATGACCTTCATATATGGGTTTTGCTCTTGTTAATAGCAGCTAGGAGTTTTCCACTCCAGATCTCCTAATTACTAGTTCAGGATTATGAACAATTGCTACTCAATGACTTGCTTCTTTAATCACATAAAGGCTCCTTGACCAGGAGATTCATTTTCTCCTGGAGAAATTTGAGTACATCTTCTCTTCCTTCCTTTATAAGCTGCTTTCTTATCCTCTCAAATGTCATACTTGAAGGCCGAATGCCCTTTTCTATCATCTCTTCCAATAAGATACAGGCTTTAGTAACATTACCCTTCTCACACAGTCCATTAATAAGAACTGAGAAAGTGTGCATGCTTGGAATAAACCTCTTCA